AACATCAGAATATACATTCTTCTCAACTGCCCATGGAACATTCTTCAAAATAGACCACATACTAGCCCATAGGACTTGATTAAGAAAATGCATAAGAACTGAAATTATCCTTTGTATATTATCTGACCATAGAGAAATGAAATTAGAAATCAACAGCAAAATAAATCACAAAACTTTATAAATGCATGGAAATTAAATAACACTATCCTGAGTAACTAATGGGTCACAAAAGAAATTAAACAATATCTAAAATTAAATGATGATGCTGATATAACATACTATGAATTATGGAACATGATGAAAGCATATCTAAGAGGGAAATTTACAGTGGTCATTCTTTTTTTTTACATTTAAAAAATTTAAAAAAAATCAAAACAAAAAAAAAAGAAATAATACAGAGTTTCAAAAAGTTAGGGAATTAACACTAGTTAATATATTGCATATTGTCTTAGAGGTTGTTCAAATTACAAAATCTAGGCACAAAAATGATCAGTCAAACAGTGACAGCACTAACTTTTTTGATGAACTATCAAATAATTAGTAGTATAGTTATCTATCTAGCATACATACACATACATACATTCATATGTGTTTACCAATATACATATGATGTTTTCCTTTCTTCCTTTTTTCTTTTCCCTTATCCTAGTTATTCTATCCTTTTGAGAGTTTTCTCTCCCTTTCATTATTACAGTATCTATTGTATATTTAGAATCTTAATTCTGTTTCAGATTTTTATTTTTTATTATTTTTTATATGAGGGATACAATCTGATATTTCTAAATGTGAGTTTGACTTATTTCACTTATGAGTATAGTCTCAAGTTGCCTCCATTTACCTATAAAAGCCCCAAGGTTATCCTTTTTTAATACATGAGTAACATTCCATTGTATAAAAATATCGCATCTATTTTATCCATTATGCAGTCAATGAGCATTTGGGTTGTTTCCAAGATTTAGGTATTACAAATTGTGCTGCTATAAATATGAGTGCACATATATTTCCGTGGTGACATTTTCAATTTTTTTGGGAAAATACTCAGAAGGGAAATAGTTGGATTAAACTAGATTTTTGAGGACTCTCCACATTGACTTCCACAGTGGCTGTACCAGTCTAAATGCCCACCAGCAGTGGAGCAGTATCCCTTTTTCCTCACAGACCCACCAGCACTTGATACCAGTTGATTTCTTAATGGCAGTTATTCTTTCTGGAGTGATATGGAATCTCAATGTTATTTTAATTTGGATTTTCTCAGATGACCAGTGATGTTGAGCATGTTTTCATGTATTTCTTTATAAATTTTAAAAAATTTTATTTAAGGAGAAAAAGAAAAAAAGCAGAGAAAGGGTACAAGTTATACAGATTTGCAGAAAAAAATAAACAGTAGGAAATCACTAGTTAATGGATTACATATTGTCATCTTAGAAATAGTTGTTCAAGTTACAAAATTAAAGCTTATAAAGTGGACATTCCAACAGTGAGACTGCAAACAGTTCTGTTCAATGATCCAACAAAACTCAGTAATATCATTATCGATCTTATACACGTAAATATACATGCAGTTATATCATTTAGAGCACTTTCTTTTCCTTTCTTTTGTACAATGACAATTACACATTTTGGGTTTTATTGCTCCCACAGTTCTTATTACTTTTTGGGAAGAGAGTAGAACCAAATGTGACAGAACAGAGTCAGTCAAATCAAAAGGATGGACATAATAGATAATGTAAAAGCATAATACAAGGTGATCAACAATGGTTACCATAATGCCTCCCGCTATCTGTAATAGAACTGCATCTATCATCAGTTATAATAAAATTGAACAAAAAAGTAAAGAATAAAACCAAAACATTGGAGACATTGCAGGTCTTCAAAAGTAAATAATAGTCAACCAGAATGGGTGTCATAATGAATCCCACTATCTTCACAGCTGTTGCCTAAACTTTCGAACCTGGTACTATCAAGCAAAACAGAATAGAGGGACATCAGTCAACACAAGATGGTGAGAGCAATACAGGGCTTTAAATCAAGATAATGGAAAGTCAAAGTGGGTTACTATAATATATCCTGCTATTTTAAAATTTATTTTTCCCTTAATTAAAAGGATAAAAATAAAAAAGTAAATAATAAAATGGAGATTGAGATAAAAGAGGGCATAACAGCAAAACAGCACAGATCAAAACATAACCATTTAAGCAAAATAGTGTTTCACCACAAGATAATCCCGCCATAAAAGTAGTTACCATATTGTCTCTTTCCTTGAAATCTTTGAGTATAACTTCGTATACTGTAGCATCAAATATATTAAAACAATGTAAAACCATTTAAGAGAATGACAGTATTACAGGGTATTTAGAATCAGCTAACAGAAAATGAACAATGGTTTCTATATAATCTCCTTGTCTATAAAAGTTTTTGCTTATACTATCATATATAATAAAATCCAATAAGATACAACCTGTTTAGACCAATGGAGACAGAAGAACAAAAGCTTGATGAGACTTCAAATCAAGATGATACTAAATCAGTATTACCTCTTAAGATGTCATTTTCTCCAAAATAGCTGTTCCTATCATCCAATCTTCTCTGCCTTATTTCTGTTGAGCTCTTTTTCTGTCATTAGTTGTCAGTTTGTCTTCTTCATTTTGCTTTCTGCTCCATTCATTGTGGCCTCTCTGCTACTGTCTCTGAAGTCTTAGTATTTTTCTTTTTAAGAATATCCTGCAGTATTCTCTGTAGAGTTGAATTGGTGGTTACAAATTTCCCTAGTTCGTCTTTATCCTGGAAGCACCTTGTTTTTCCATCAATTTCCAGGGATAGTTGTGCAGGATATATCAATCTTGGCTGGAGGTTATTGTCTTTCAAAGCTTGAATTATTTCCCCCCACGCTCTTCATGATTTGATGGTTTGTGCCGAGAAGTCTGCTGTAATTCTGATGGGTGTTTCCTTGTAAGTGATCTGTTTCTTGTCTCTGACGGCTTTTAATATTCTGTTCTTGTATTGGATTTCTGGAATTTTAATTATTGTATGCCTGGATGTTGCTCTGTTTGGGTGTAGGTGGCTGGGGTCCTGTATGCTTCATACAACTGAGTATCTTTACCTTTTGCTAAATTAGGAAAATTCTCCTGGATTATTTCTGTGAGTAGCTTTTGTAGTTCATTTGTTTGTGTCCCTATTTCTTCTTTTATGCTCTTAATTCTTAAGTTATAAATCCTCTTATCATCTTCTAGTCTTTGTATTATTGCTGCTTGTTTCTTTGTTATTTTTAAGAAGTTTTTCGTTTCATGCTCCCATATTACAGATCTGCCCTCCAGTTCAGATAATCTGTCCTTAGTTTCTTTCAAGCTGTTATGCCAGTTTTTGATAGAGTTTTTAGTTTCCTGGTAATCTCTTTGAACCTGCTTCATGTATTCTATGCTTTCTCTATTTTCTCCATTAAACAATTCTCCCCTCTTTTTCTGTTCTTCCATTCCACCATCGGTTTTTTCTCAGGTGGTGCTTAACATTTCTCTAACTATTCTGCTTATGTCTAGCTTCAGGTCATTAATAACTTCATTCCTGAACTTGTCTATGAGGCTCTGGAGATAGAGCTTTATATCTATTGGTGCTGTGTCTGCTATTGCCTCTGTCTCAGGACTGGGGGCCGAGGAGCCTTTCTTGTTGCTGCCTCTTCCCATATTCTTTGTTCCTTATATATGCAAGCATATAGGAGGCCCAGCTTCCTTCCCTGTGGGCCACAGTCTGATTGAATTGTGCCGGCTATGTGTTCCCGCCCACCACAGTGCACCAGGAAGTTGCAGACCAGGCAGCCTATGTGCGGCCTGCCCTCCCAGGTCAGTCTACCTTCAGGTGCTGGGACCTGGGTTGTGCTAGCCTACTGGGTCTCAGCCAGCAGCGTCACATAGGCTAGGCACTGCTTACCAATCCTGCTTGAGAGGGGGATACGTGACTGAAGTCACTGCAGTGCCCTGTTCCCGCAAGTCTGCCTGGTCCCAGAATGTCCTCTGTTGGAGTGTCCTAGACCATGGAAGAGTCCCAGTTTCTCTCACTCACCGCAGGTCAATGCACAGCTCCCTGCCCGTCGTGCTTTCCACTCTGTTCACCAATTCCCGTTCTCAGAGCTTTCGCTCGTCTCTCTCCCTGCTGAGCGGATGTAGATGCAGCGGCGGCGGCAGGGAAACCCAAATCGCGGTTTCCAATGGCGCGGGCTCCAGCTTCCACAGCTTTTCTGTTCCTCTTATAGCACCAGGATTGCATTCCCAGTTGGTTTCTCTCAGCCCTGTTCGTTCTTGGGTCAGCAGGGCATATCTCCTCTTGCTTATGATTCCTCACTCCACACCATTCCTGAATTCTAAGCTGGGCCTTTCAGAGAGCTTCCGTAGCTGCTGCTATCTGTCTGCCATGTTCTCCCAGAAGTCCCATGTTTTCATGTATTTATTTGCCATTTGTATTTCTCCATCTCAGGACTGCATGTTCATTTCAGATGCCCATTTTTGGATTGGGTCTTTGAATTTGGGGGCAACAGAGTAGAACATTGTGCTATGGTCCAGCCAGTGAACCACATGCTTTATCTCTGTCTTCAAGGCAGTACAGTTTCTTTGTCCTCACCCCTGAGGGAAGACCTGAAAACAAAGGAGTGAAGATGTCCAAGTGAGAGGGAAACTTAACTGCCAGTAATACTTCTGTTCATTGTTTCCTCTGAGTTTTGTGGACACCATCTTGGTCTCTGTGCAAATGGTTTTTCTTGTCTTTCTTTTTTCTTTGTTTCTTTAAGACAATATATAGTGAGACTTGTAAAGTCTCCTCCATAAAACGTCTTTGAAAGAATAATCTTATAGAAATCTGGGGCTCTTGGAAGATTTTAAGGGCAGATTTTGAAAGGAAATACAACAGAACTAGGAAAGCAGATGAGAAATTTATTTTAGAGGTTGCATCAGATTCCTCCAACCATACTTACGTAGGAAACCAAATGGACATTGTAACATACATAAGACTTTCTATTACTTTATGAACAGGGTACTAATTTTAGCAATTCGACCTCCTTTGATAGGTATCACTGCATCATCTTTAGGGCAGATATTTTTTTCTTGAATAATGTCAACCACTGCTGCAACTTGTAGGGTGTCTGGAAGAAAGGAGCACAGAGATAATCTCAGAGACACTGCAGGGTCTCTTATTTTATGCTGGGATCAGGTACCTACCTACCTAAGGGGGCCTCAGTTTCCCCAAATCATTTACAAATTGATCATCTGTCTTTAACTTTTCTCAAGCAGTTCCTTCCTTTTGGATCCTGGGCATCATTTCATTGGCTCCCCGTGGTTCCCTTCCTTACTCTGCCCTCTGCTCTTCCACCTGAAAGTTCTGTTTCTATTTTTCCTTACATGCTGGACAGTTCCTCCCTCAGACAGTAGCTGAACTCACTGTTGGTGTGGATGTCCCAGGACAAGGTTCTTGGGTAGTCTTTACAGAGGCAGGTGGTGTATTTATAGTTGAAGGCTCCCTCAATTGGCTTACTGCTCTTGAGATAAGCTTTAATCTGGTGGACAGAGAAGAATCAGTATTAATTTGGCATATTGGAAAGGGAAGAAATACAAGAGATGAAGAAGCTTGATGTAGTCAAGAGCTATGGAGCAGCCCTCTTAGTAGAACCTTTCAAGGGACTTTTTGATGTCAGATTCTTTCTCCTCCTGTCCTTTAACTTCTACCTGAATTTTGGGCATGGCTCAAGAGAGGACACGAATATTCAAAAATAAACCCACCATCTTTATCATGGGGTGGCAGTCCATTGGGGAAGGTCAGTCTTAGTTATCAGTGAGATTCTAAGTGATTGGTCTATATGATCTTTTACTTTGTTACTCTGTTACCTGGGGTGTAGGCACCAAGGCTGACCTTACAAGGTTGACCAGGCACCACTGCACTCCCTTCTAAAATCATGACTTTTGATGATTGAAGTTAGTCTCTTCAATAACAATTTCTTCCACTATGAGATGGAAGCCCTTATCTTTTGAGGTTGGGTATTAGATCAGCTAAGAAATTTCTTTCTTTCTTTCTTTCTTTCTTTCTTTCTTTCTTTCTTTCTTTCTTTCTTACCTTCCTTCCTTCCTTCCTTTCTTTTTCCAATTTGAAGTTCTTGCCAATTTAAGGGTTCAGATTATTGTGTATATCAACTTCTAGCTAGTGTTAACAGAGGAGTTTTATCCTCGGGCCTATAATCCCAGAGGAACCTGTGAATATATTCATTAACTCTGTGACTACTAATGGAAAGATGTTGCATCTTCATTTTACTGTTAGCTGACATTTCACATTCCTTTAGGAACAAAAGGCATTCATGCAACACTGTAACATCAGCACTATGTGTGATTTTATAGTAAGGAACAAAATGATTCCTATCACTTGATAGACTACAATAGCTCAAATTTTGCCCAGACTCATCACTGCCCTGAATGTGTGGGAGTTGTCAGAATGGCTGGCTTCTGATTACTGAAGCCACCTGCCAACTGCCCACCCCAGAAGCCTTCTGTGATCCCTGGCAGTTTTGTACTGAGTAACCCTTAGCCCAACAGGAAATCTTAGTATTCTCACCAATCAATGTTACTCAGAACTCCCTGGAGAATACTGGTATTCAAAATCACCTGTCCTTGTAATGTTTACTTTTTAAAAACTGGATTTGTAATAAGATCTCATCACAATGAGAGCTTTCAATACTTGTATTGAAATTAAAACATCAGAATCCTTTGGATGTCCAGCCTGTCAGGTGCCAGGTGTGTCAAGGCTAAGCCAGTTTACTGTGTACCTTTTTCCTCAAGGTGAACAGGAGCAGTCACAATAGATCATGTCTTCATAACATAAAACTTGTTTATAATTTAAATGTATTGGCTTTTTCAGCTTATGCGTAAATATACATTATTGTTTCAAAGTTTTACTTTAGTTTTATCAGTTTTTAATGTGACAGTTTTCATAAATAATTTCTTATACTTTTTGCATTTAAAATAATTTTTTTCTTGATAACATCAAGTTTATTTCAATTTTAAAGGTTTTTTTGGCCTTTTTTGAGACAGGATTTTACTTTGTTCCAGTTGGCTTTGACCTAACTTTGTGGACCAGGCTAGCCTCAAATTTGCTGTGGTCTTCCTACGTCAGCCTTTCGAGTGCTGAGTTTACAGATGTGTGCCACCATGCCCTGCCTAATTTTAAAGTATTCTATAATCTTTATATTCAAATGCATAATCACATGAGTAATCCATTCTGTTTTAATTCTAAAATGAGTATTTGTCTAAGACCACTTTATTTAAAAAATCACTTGTAAAACAGTTGATTGAAAATGAAGTGGGAGAAATTTCAAATTTGTAAACAAATTCTTTTTTCATAAAATTTTTCAAACATAAATATGTTTAAAAGCATGCATTCATTTTTTATTCAAAATTACAGGTGAATTTTGGTTAGCACAATTTTTTTACATGAGTTTTTTCTTGTTTGCAAATGAACTGACTCAGATTGAAGTTTCCTGTCCTTTTATATGCATTTAGGTCTCACAAAGATCACTCTATTGAACTGCACCAGCATGACTCTCAAATGTATACTTTTTTTGATCACAGTCTCACATGTCATTTGTAGATTTACACACATTTTATAAAGCTTTAAATTTTTTATGGATGGAAATGAAACTTTATCTACTATGATCATAAACAAATATAGCTAATATTTAATCTATACAACATGAACACAATTACCTTATCTGTATCTTTAATGTATCTATGGATACATTAAAAAATATAAAGTTGAAAAACTATGAATTATCCTTCTTTCTACCTTATATCATCATATATGGTTTGAATTATTGGACAGCAAACAGACAAATTTTACAAAACATCTGGAACATTCTTTTCTCAGTGATCAAAAATTGTTCTTACAGGTATGGCGGCATGTTTAGAAAGCATTTTAGTGAAAGGGTATCTTCATATCCTCAATTTTGTTTCTTGCTTGATTACTGGGCTTAAATTCCACTTGAATCAGAAGAGCCGTGCTGGGGGGGAAATATGGCATGTAACGCCGTAACCCCAGCTACTCCTTGTATGGTCTCCGGAACAGAGCTTCTGCATGCCCCAGACTGCGTCAGAAATTTATACACTCTGGCTTCTCCCTACATCTCTGAGTAAGTGAGATGCCGCGTTTTGACAAGACCCTCCACCCCAAGGGACTTTTAGGTATGTCATGATTTGACAGCCTGTGCTGTCGTTCAGAGTGGACTGTCCACTGACAACTGCTGAGCTAAGCAAAGAAGTCTGTTATCCCTCTGGGGGAGGTCTGACCAGAGTCAGCTTCTGGTGAGTCAGGAAAATAGAGCAGAGGAAGAGCAAGAGGAAAGCAGACTCATGGCAGAGCTAACAGAAGAGGCACCAGAGCCTGCAGTCTTCATCACAGGTGGGTCAACCTGCCACCCAGGCCTGCAGAATATTCTTCTGAGCGCCCCCTGCTGGAACCCAACTTGAAATTAACCATGCTCGGTACCTTGCAGGAACTGCTAGTTTTCTGGTCTTTTTTTTCTTTCATTCTTAATTCCTAGTCCTTGTTCCTCCTTTCTCATTTTTTTAAGACCTTGCTGGATCAGAGTTGCTTCATTTGTAAGATAAAAATAGACATCTTCGTCATTCTCCCACAATCATTCTGAGGCTCGGGTAGCCTAAAATATTTGAGAATATATTATTATCTATATTGTGCAATGTAAAGTGAGAGGATTAAGGAGTCAGATTTGTCCTGAGGCTGTTCTCCCTGGCCTCTACTTACCACCACACATTCTCTCAATTCTGTCTGAACTTTAAGCTTCAAGGTGATCACTTCACCTGCTTTTGCTTCCTTCGGCATCTGCACATTGGCTATTAGTGATTTTCGACTGATTCTAGGAGAGCAAAGCACGGGACAATGATCAGAGATTAGTCCATAGGAGAAGGTGGGAACCCTGAGGTGACAGGAGGTAGAGGGCCAATGCCAGGGAGGGGATGATGGGGGCTGATCAGCTGCTCAGCATCAGACTCCCCAAGGACCACTATGTGTTGGTTGGTTTGGATGCTTTGTGTGGGTTCAGTCTTGTGGAAGAGTAAATATGTCCACTTTTTCAACTGAAAAAATATTTAAAAACCAAAAAAAAAATTAAGGTATGTTATCCTATTTTATTATTAACATTTGGATCTGAACCTATCTCCACACAGAGGTTTCTGCGAATATTTTTTTTTTTTTTTTGTCTTTTTCATTGGTACCGGGGATCGAACTTACCACCGCCTGCTTGCAAGGCAGGTGCTTATGCTGCTGAGCTAAATCCCCAGCCCCATTTCTGAGAATATTTACCACCATCATACCAGCTTGAAAGAGCCGTGAACAGCTTCTTCCAGGACAGGATATCTGGCTAGGGCCCCACAGAGCACTTCTAAGGTGTACCTCCAGATACACAGCTCTCCAAGGTCTTACCTTGGAGAGAAAAACACAGTTTTTCTGGGTGTCATTGCTTCTCTAGGGACACTCTGCATTTCCCACTTTATTTGACTTCCCTAATTGTTTTCTTTTTAAAACTAGAACCATCCAGGTCCCAGGGTGGGCATGAGTTACAGGCCTGTCATAGTCATCATCTTTGGCTTCAAGACAGTAAATATATCTAAGCTTTCTGCTGGCTACCTCAATCTCAGACCATGGGATGAAAGGAGAGTGCTTTATCCTTCAGCAAGCCCTGCCAAAGCTGCACCGAGCTGTTGCTAAAACTCTCAGGCTTCTGTATCTTTTCTTGTGTGAGGCAAAGTATGAGAAGGTAAAAGTTTATGGAGCAGCAATGAATATAAAGTTTATGGAGCTGAAAAGCTGATAAAGTTTATGAAGCAGAAAACAAAGAAAGTTGAGGATGATCTGTGGTTCAATGAATAAGAGTGAGACTAACTTTTGTTTTTGGGATATAGGCTTTTGCTTTGTTGTTCAAGTTGGCCTTGAACTCTATATGTAACACATGTTGACCTTGAACTATGGGTGACTTTCCGAATTTAGCCACCTGGCTCCTGGAATATAGGCATGAGTCTGTCTTGGAGTAAAACTGTGTTAATTACAATCTCTGTGAACAAGGTGAGCCTTATTCCACAAGTAAACAGGAAATGTGAGGTGGGAGTTGATGGAGCTTTGTAAGTGGAGGGAAGTGAAACTCACTACCATGTTCATAAGCCCCTGAGCCTAGAATTCTGCGAAGCTTAAAGAATCTCCAAGAAGGGATATGCTGATTTCTAGGTTAGAAGAGGAGCCCTCCCCATGGGTTTTGTGTTAGGGAGGAGAAGGGCTTGGCTCACGTGTCTTCCTGAGCTCCGCTGATCCCTAGCTGCAGGCATTGAACCAGGAGCAGGGTGGCAGAGCTGGCCCCAAACAGAAGCTGGAAAGCACACATACTGGAAGATTCAGAAGTAATGTCCAGGGACTGTAGTGTCCCAGCCAACACAGCTCTTATATGCAGATCAAGGAAGTGAAGAGCTGTGTGTTAGGTGCATGAGGTGAATCACTTTCCTTACTCATGATCTTTCCTTGTTGACCTAAAGTTTACTCTTCTATGAAAAAAATTCAATGTTTAATCAGATTGTTATAATTTGGGAGAGATGCCCTTTATTTTCTCAGTATCAGAGCGTCTTAAAATGACTCTTCTCTACTTACAGTTATATTTTTTCTTTTCCTCCTTGTGTAGTTATCAGTTTTGTGTGCAGCCTTGACTTAAGCCACCATCTTTGCAAGACGTGAGCCTGCCACAGTGGTTCAAAGCTACAGTTCTAGAGCACATTCACTTGATTATTTTATAGTAAATTCTAGATGACATGTCACTAAAAAGATACTTTGGAATTATAGGGTGATCAGGGTCTCCCTGGAGCCCACCATCAATTATATCATAAGAGAACTCAGGAAGTGTAGCTTTTCTGTGGGTTCTAGAGAGGTGGGACCAGAGAAGAGTAAGAACTAGTGTCATGGTTGGGATGCAATATGAAGGTATTTATGATTGTTAAATCCTTTGGAATGTCAGGGCAGTAACAAATCCTACAGATGGTTTAGATCCTAGATACTACTAAGTCTCAACCACAGGGGACTAGTAATTTTAATTCTAGATAGTTTCTCTAAAGAGGTAACAGTTCCTAATCAGATTTTTTTGCACTAGAGAGTGTTTCATTCCATGATTATGAAGTGATTTTTCACACAAGTCTGGGGCAACAGGCACAGGGGAGGACACATTGGGAATGAGCTCATTCACTAGAGCAGAGCATAAGCCATGTCTAGGTGATGTCCTGGATCAAGAACTCCGCTCTGTGGAATCAAGGGGAAACTTACTTTTGCCAACATTGGCATTGTACTATTTCTCTTTGCTAAATTAAAGTATTCCTTATTCTATGACTTGTGAATTATGGAATTCATTTATACTCTTTGCATGAAGAGAACCCAAAAAGTTGCTTTCAATCATGAGAGAAAAATCATTATTCTGGGAGTTGCCTGTGTAAATCAGCAGAGACAGAGTTAAGAATTACCATCTGGACATATGCTTTCAGACTTGGATGTATCTTAAAATTCCCTTGCCTGAGTGTTCTATTTCTGTACCTCTATTCTCTTTCCTTTGAGGGTTATATCATGTCATTCTTCACTTACAACTTCAGCAATCATTGTAATCATAGACTTTCTACTTTGTTTCTCTTTCCTCAACTTACTAACAATTTGTTTTCCACTTTGCCCTGGTCACAGTGACCTCCTTCATAACATTACTTATGTCTTAGTGTTTAATGCTTTATTTTTCTCTTACTTAGTTGAATGATTACCATCATAAAGAAATTATAACTAACATGAGCCAAAGATTAACACTAAAGGCTCTAGATTGTGTCTACACTGGGAAAATACACAATGGGCTGTTTGGTGGAGCTCTTTCCTCTTTGATGGCACAGTCCATTTCAGTGTTTACTTCAACACTCACAATAAGTTAGACCTCAGAAACAGCAGAGGAGGATGAATTAAGGAATGTATTCAAGAAAAGTGTTCACTCTTGTATAAACCAGCAGGGAATTGTGATACTCAGACTTTTCAAAATACACAACAGTCTTTAGTACTATGCTGTCATTTACTGATGTGATATTTAGTTTTGTATACGAACTTGTCTAGGAAGGGTACCTAGTTGTTAGTAGAAACCAATCTAGATGTTTTTGTAAGGACATTTTTCAAGGACATGATTAGTATTTAAATCAGTAGCCTTCAGTAAAGGCAAATCCACCATGCAAATCTGCATGTTTAAACTCTGTTCGAGGTTAACACAGAGATATCAGAATTCATGGAGCTGAACATACTTGTAAGTCAGTACTTCAGAAGCAGAATAGAGTAAACGACTTTTCAAATCTGCAAATAACTGCAATAATGCTTTCAGAATGGAGTTTATGACAAGTTTGATGACAATGCCACTTATGTGCCAATGTTATTGTTTGAAATTTAGCCTAGAAGACAGCTCTTTGTTGGTAAATATGAAACAGTATTGTCACAGCGTGAGCAACCAATATGTCTCACAAGGTTAAGAGATCAAATAGAGGCTGAGAAGACCAGATTAAAAAAAAAATTAGAAGGCCTACAGAAAACACATACAAAGACACAAGGAAAGAATTAACAGTTCAGGGGAAGCTTATTTCAGGCAAAATTTGCAAATAGTGGGATCATAGAGCTTACAGTCCTCATAAAAGACCAGGATAAAGAATGGCTAGGACATGGAGTTGTGGGAGGGAATGATCATGGAGAATATGGCATATGCATGGCACATGTTAAATATGTTACATGCATACAATCATGAATCCTCATAGCAACCCTATGAATTAGGTTGCCATTTTCATCTCATTTTACAAATTGGGGAAAAGAGAGAGAGAAGAGAAAGGTGTCAGATCCATGTCACAGAGCCAGTATCTAGAGATATGTCCTCTGAATCAGGATTTTGTGGCATTCCCATAATTTTATTTACATTATTTAGGATTCTTTTTCAACTTTATTGATGTAAAATATAGACAAAACATTCTGGGAAGGGTATTTGTAAAGCAGGAGGCCTGAGGCTTCTGGTTATCAACTCAGTGGCAAATATGCATATGAATGGGATCAAAATGGGAGCATGGACCTCGTGGCTCTAAATCCTGAGCTTTGCATCCCATGTCTCTGGGTGTGTTCAAGTGGCCAAGTTAATAACTAGCAAAATTAGGATTCAACTCAAATAAATGCATTTTATAGCTGAGGAAAGTAAACTTACAGAGCTTTTCATAGCTTGTTTCAATCATACAGCCAACAAATACAACCAACCCAGTGAGAACTTATTTCAGAGTTGGCACTTATACTGACCACTCTTTATTTCCCCTTAAGAAGTGTACAAGATGTGTACAAGGACATTTAATGTGTACTATGTAATGAGTTGTTTACTCAAGGAGGGTATTTTCAAGATTAATGTTCAAATATTGCAACCTGCATGACAATCTTCCTAAGAAAAGATTGAGCATGTGTGTGTGTTCACGTGTATATTAACAATAATAAAGCTACCTTCTCTGGTGGATTAACAGTAAAATTTTACAGGTTACATAGAGTAGAAGTCTATTTTTTGTTTGTTTGTTTTTATTTATTTTTATTTTAAAGAGCAAAAAAGTAACAATAACAGTAAAATAGAGTTTCAAAAGAGGCTAATAAGATAGTAACAATAATTAATAAATTGAGTATTGCTGTCTGCATAATAGTTACTCAGAGTACAAGATATAGGCATAAAATAGCATTCAGATAATATCAGCAAAAATCTTTCTTTTCAAAGAACTAAGAGAAACTGGATATACAATTATTTTAACTAGTGTGTATGTGTGTGTGTGTATCCCTTTTCTTTTTTTTTCTTTCTCCTTTCCTCCCTTAGTTTCTATTTACTTTTAAATAATTTGTTTCCAATTTACACTATCTATTGTACATTTTGGATCTTATTTACTCATTCCACTCCTACTAATGCGACAATGTGATGTTTATACATGTGGGTCTGGTTTATTTCACTTACGAGTATGGTTTCAAGTTGTATTCATTTACCTATAAAAGCCTCAATGAATTAATACACATTTCTCAGACTAAGAAATAAAAATTGAAAATAAATGTATGAAAAAATGTTCATTATGACTGGCCATTCAAGAGATGTAAATTAAAATAACACTGAGATTGCATCTCACTTCAGAAAGAATGGCTATCATCAAGAAATCAGCTAATAACAAATGCTGGCAGGGCTGTGGGGAAAAAGAAAACCTTCTCTACTTCTAAAAAGTACCAATGGCTAATAAATACATGAAATCCACCATAACCAACTATTCACAAAGCAGCCACCATCAGGGATGCTTCCCACAGGTAACCAGTATGGGAGCCAGCCCTGCACCAGTATACCCAAGTACTAGAATTGGATATCCATAGCCAGTGCTGGCCAGGAGAACCAACCAGTCATGCTTCCGAGAAACTGCAGAAAGTGCCTAGAACCCCTGCCTGCTTGTCTGGAAGAACTCAGGAAAGTGTCAAATTGTAGAAGCAAAAGGCACTCTCTGGCCTCCAACCTTTCAGAACAAGTCCAGGAGATATAAACACAGAAGAGACTGGGAGTGTCACACCTGAAGTTTCTGAAGTGATGGCAACAGAAGTCAACAATCAACTTTATGAGACTATAAAAGAAGTTAGGAAGGAAATACTATGTCAGGTAAAAGAAGAAATGAAAAACACAGTAAAAGAATTTCTGAGCATTTCTAAAGAAGATATAGATTTAAAAAAAGCCTACAGGAGCACAGGAAAATGAGAGAAACCTTGAATGGACAATATAAGAAAGATTCAGAATGCATGAAGTGGACTCAAAGAGATAACTAAGAAATTAAAAACTCCATTGAAAGCTGGAAAAACCATTTGAAAGACACTGAAGATAAACTTTCAGACCTCAAAACCAAGCACTCAGCTAGTGATCACAAAAAGAAAGGTCTCTTAAAAAATAACAAGGAACCAGGAAATAACAATTCAACAGCTGCAAAATGATGCAAGGAAAAACAATTTAAGGATGACAAGCATCAGTGAAGAAGCAAGAGTAAACACTTTGACATAAAAAGTCTATTTACAGAAGTAACAGCAGAAAACTTCCCAAGCATGAGCAAAGGATGTGACATGCAGATAAGTGAGGCATATAGAACTGCAGGTAGCCATAACCAAGATAAATTATACCTAGACACAGAATAACCCAGGTGCCAGAAATTTAACACAAGAACAAAGCATTAAAAGCTGTTAGATAAAAGAAACACATCACCTATAAAGGAAAACCTATCAAAATCACAACAGACTTCTCAACAACACGCACCATCAAGTCAATAAGAGGTTGGAGTGAAGTATTTCAAGTCCTGATAG